CCCAGCTAATTTTTTGTATTTTTAGTAGAGACGGGGTTTCACCATGTTGACCAGGATGGTCTCGATCTCTTGACCTCGTGACCCACCCGCCTCGGCCTCCCAAAGTGCCGGGATTACAGGCTTGAGCCACCGCGCCCGGCCTTCTTTTTCTTTTTTTTGTAGAGACAGAGTCTTGCTATGTTGCTCAGGCTGGTCTCAAACACTTGAGCTCAATCAGTCCACCCACCTCAGCCTCTGAAAGCACTGGGATTACAGGTGTGAGCCACCACACCCAGCCTTTCCTCATTCCTTTTTCTTTTCCTTTTCTCTTTCCTTTTCTATTCCTTCCTTCCTTCCTTCCTTCCTTCCTTCCTTCCTTCCTTGTGCGCTCTCTCTCTCTTTTTTGAGATGGAGTCTTACTCTATAGCCCAGGCCGGAATGCAGTGGCACCATCTTGACTCACTGCAACCTCCACCTCCCTGGTTCCAGCGATTCTCCTGCCTCAGCCTCCAGGGTAGCTGGGATTACAGGCAAGAGCCAACACACCCAGCTAATTTTTTCTTTTTTTTCAGCAGAGACAAGGATTTACCATGTTGACCAGATTGGTCTCAAACTCCTGACCTCAGGTCACCAACCTGCCTCGGCCTCCCAAAGTACTGGGATTACAGGTGTGAGCACTGCACCTAGCCCCTATTCTTTTTTCAAACTCTGCCTCCCTTCACCCCTGCCCCCAGCCAGAGCACTTCAATTTACATGTCTCCTAGAATAAGTCCGCCCATCTCCATCCATTGCTCAGCATTCAGTGCAACGGTAACTTCAATCCCGTGGCTTCTGATTCCACAGCCCAGGTCCCATCAAGAGGAGCTCCCTGTGATACTCAACCACCCTCCACACTTCTTCCCTCTGTGCCCTGCCAGCATTTCCCTCCCTGGGAGGACGAGAGCTCTCTCCCCTCTGTGGCCTGGCCAGCTGCCCTCCTGTGCACCAGACCCACTGCCAGTGCTCCATTTCTGTTGCCAACGTCACATGTGATGTTGCTGTCAGTACCACATTTTCTCTCTCTTTTCTCAGGACAAGGACCACATCTCATTTTATCCGTCATCTATCACAGCACACTTTCTACGTCCCAGGCACGTAGCAGTCTCGCTATTTAAATCACATCTACCACTGTCTGCCCATGAGGTAGGTGCTTTATAATACCCATGCTAGAGATAAGAACTAGAGGCTTACAGGGTTAGATCAGATGTACCCCAGGCGTGAGCCACTGCACCCGGCCTTATGTGATCCCATTTTCAACCTTAAAAACTCTCTACATAGAGATCGTTGTCCTCATTTTACATATGAGAAAACCGAGGTCTACCTTTCAACATAAGAACATTTAGCAAACCGGGAGTAGTTGGAGTAGAACTTCCCCAGCCTGGTGAAGAGCAGCTACAAAAAGTCCACAGCTAACATCACGCTGCATGGTGAGAGACTGGTGCTTGCCCCTACACTAAGGAACAAGAAGTGGATGACTGCTCCTTCCCCTTCAGTGTTGTCAGTATCAGTATTGTTCTGGAGGTTCTGGTTAGGGCAATTAGGCAAAACGTAAAAATAGACGGCTC